CTTCCGATTCCAAGTCAGCCTTCAGATCACCCCCTTTCCTGGCACCTGAGCCTCCTGTGTGTTCACCACGGTGGCCCATCACAGCCACCGTTTCCCAAGGCATAACGTCCCGCAGAGAGTTTCTTCCTCATCACTTATAAATGCTTTTCCGTGTTTCTAGCGAGCGGATCACAGCGGAGGGGAGCGCAGTACGTGATTTCATGTCGCCACAGGGGCAGACCTTGACGCACAGAGCCACTTGGCGGGATGCTCCGGGGGAAGACCCTGGCCCTGACCGACCCGGGGTGGGAAGGGTGGCAATAGCTGTAGCTTCTGAGTTGATGTTAATTTATGGACCCGGACTCAGCCCCCTAGGAAATGGGATGATCCTTAGGGCTCCGTGTGTGGGCGAGACCCCGTGGAACGCTAGGGTTCGGTCATAGACGTGAACCGAAAAGCCATCGAGAAAAGCTGGGAAACAGGCTGTGAAAGGTCACCCTGTGATGACGGCACCAAGAGTGCTTGTGAAATGTGTGGGTACGAAATTCCAACCTGTTTTCGATACTGGAAAATCTTCCCTGAAAACTGTGACGGCGACAGCATTAAAGGCCTCCCCACCGCGTCGCCCCGCCTCTCCCAACACGTCTGCTTTGTTTCCCAGTGAGATTTTACATCGTCTTGCAGAGCTTTTCCATCTTCCTCCGGCACCTTCGTGAAGTAACTCCCGCCCTGATGATGATGAGTGTGACAGCCATCTTCAGGCATCTCCCACGGTGGGGGGTGGGGGGACCGGGGGTGGGGGTGGGTGGGACACAGAGCGGCGTGTTGACGCAGGGTTAACCTCTGTCCTTCCGTCCGGGTGGGTCCCAGATGCACCAGCCCGCTCTGCACGTTGTGACAATGCCATGGGCATTCCCCATGGGTGTGCCGTAGGGGTGAACCTGGCTGATGCAGGCAGAGACCCCGTGTCTGGCGAAAAGTGCGCCCAGCCTCTGCTCCAGGCTCTCTTCATGATTCCAGAAACCAGATCACTTGTAACTTGGCATTAGATCCTCGTCATGCCCAAGAGCACCTAGAAATGAGAACACTGTATTCCTAAGATTTACACTTGGATTCTTTTTTCTTATTTAGTTTCTGGTGAAGCAAATCAAGTAAGGAACTGTTTTTATTTTAGATGGAATTCTTGGTTTTGTTGCTTTTTAACTCTCTGCATATTCACCCTACATAAGCTAATATATCAGGAGAAGTAATGAACGAACTCTTCTAAAGAATGAGAGTAGTGCACTTTATTTATAGGCTACATATTTTGGCTTCTGCAGTATTTTATTATCTACACATAATTTGGCCAAAGAGAAGCAGCTGGAGACAAGAGTGTGTTTAAAGTAGTTTATAGCACAGGAAAGACGGTGAATGCCACTACATAGTGAAAATATGTTGTGATTTTTATGAAATAAAATCTTAATGTCCTTAAAGTGTGGTCTTTAGCGTCTTTTGCTAGTGGGAGGTGAGCAGGACAGTGGGTCTCTCGACGAAAATCTGAAGAGAAACACACGTGGGTAAAATCCAACCCTGGGATTCACTCAGCAGACATTTATTCAGCGCTTTCTATATGCCCAGCACATTCCAGCTCTTGGGACACTGTGATGCGCAATGCCCTGCCCTCTCAGGAGCCTCCCTGGGTGGGGCAGGTAGTGGGATTTGTGCAGCCCTGTGTCTCCCCAGGTTAATGTACTGGACAGAATACTGGTGTTTCTTTTTTTTAAAGAAACTTAACAATATATTTTATTTAAGCTAATGTGTCGAAAATATTTCAACACGTAACATTAAAACTTACTGGGCGATTTTACATTCTTTTTTCTATACTAAGTCTTTAAATCTGGTTTATTATTTTTTAAAGTCTTTAAAAAATGTTTACATCTGTGACTCTATTCCTGTTTTGTAAAGAAGTTCATTTGTACCATGATCTTAGATTCCATGAGAAATAGAGTCACAGATGTAGAAAACACACACTTAACGGTTACCACAGGGGAAGAGGTGGGGACGGGGGGAGGATAAATTGGGAGATTGGGGTTGACACATACAGACTATTATATATAAAGTAGATAAGGACCTACTGCACAGCACAGGGAACTCTCTGCTCAACACTCTGTAATGGCCTATATGGGAAAAGAATCTTAAAAAGAGTGGATCTATGTGTATGTATAAGTGATTCATTTTGCTGTACAGCAGAAACTAACACAACATTGTAAATCCACTCTACTCCAATAAAAAGGAAAAGAAATGCTTACAAAGCTAAAAAATAAAAATTTTTTAAGTTTATACTCCATATACAGTTAGTACAAAATATTGGCTCTATTCCCCACGGTGTGCAGCACACCCTTGAGTCTATCTTATACCCAACAGTTTGTGCCTCCCCCTCCCCTACATCGCTTCCCCCTCCACTGGTAACCACTAGTGTGTTCTCTGTTGAAACAGGGAGTGGGTTGGTGGTGACAGAGGTGGGGGGTTGGGTGGTGGGCAAGATGGATGAAGGGGCTCAAAAGGTACAAACCTCTAGTTATAAAATAAGTCCTGGGGCTATAATGTACAACGTGGCAACTACAGTTAATAACACTGTCTTGCATATTTGAAAGTTGCTAAGACAGAAGATCTTAGAAGTTCTCAGCACGAGAAGAAAAAACTTCTGTAGCTGTGACATCCATCACCATCACGTATGGTGATGGGTGTCAACTAGACTTATTGTGGTGATTGTTTTGCAGTGTATACGAGTATCAAGTCATTATGGTGTACACCTAAATATACTATGATGCTTGTTTTTTGTTTTGTTTTCTTTGCCTTTTGGTATCCCTTACAATTTCTTTTCTTGTTATTAAAAGCTAAACATATCTGTATTGGGTGTTAGAAACTGAGGTAAATAGGACTTTAGTGTGAGGATTTATGTTCATGTGACCAGGAGGTGGGCTCTGTAGACTGTTCACTGCAGCTGTAGGTGCCTGAGGCTCCAACTTCCTGTTCTTCCTTCTTTACTCTTGACTTTGGACTTTGCCTATGGACTGTACTCCTCATAGCGTCCGCAGCTTGCAGCCCTTTCAGCCTAATCTGTTAATATACCAGCTCCTTTTCTGCCGTGGTGTTAACATGCGTGGTAGAGCTGTTCTGTAATATTATAGCAAATCTGCATCTTTTAGTGGGTCTGTGTCTAGGGTGGTGACCCTCAGAAGTGTTTCTCTAGTGATAAAGCATTTTCCCCCTCTTTGGGGAGACAGGAAGCCCAGAGGGGGCTGGGAAGTCAGGAATGC